TCCATTGGTCAAATTTGTATGACAGCCAATAAAACTGCAAATACAGGATCACGTTCTGCTCCGCTTTAGCCTTTCCCCAAATTTAGACACTCAGAGAATTGTACTCCTATTAGTAGTGATGACGAAATTTGAGGTTACTTCTTCTTAAAAAATGCCTAATCGCTTCTCACGCAAGAACGTGAAATTACGAGAGCTTCCGTCATTACGTTATATTTTTTCTACGCTTCCTCCAGGGCAGAAAACGTTATTCACATGGGGCGTAGTTCACCTTTGCTTTGGCGTCGTTCTGTGGGCTAAAGGTCAATGGAATGATAGCTTGGGTGAGTGACAGAATTATCAAATCACATTAGTAATAAATGTTATAAAGAAAAGAAATTTCATTTGGCGAGTCCCAACACGCCAGATGTATTATACTGTTCTTATATATCTAATTTGATATACAATTTTACATTAGCTTTGACAGGATTTGCATATCTAGTAATTTTTGATGCTTTCGGAGTATTTACAACCTTTGCTTCAACGGTTCTCATAACATACCGATCTCTCCGTGAGTCATCCATTAAACATCCATTTGGGTACGAACTTCTTAGATGCCATATATTAGTTATCAATGTCTTGGAATTTACTGAATTCTTTTGTTTAGCGTGCAACGATACGAAGTTTTATTGGGTTTCATCAACACGATATATCTGATATTCGTAGCTATGTATGTAATGAAGGAAAGCCTGGAACATCTACTGTTGGAATCAAGCGAAGATCATTATGACGAGAGGTAATGGTTGAAGGATTATAGGTTGAAGTAATGGCGCAATACTAAACTTATTGCTTTGTAGCGTTGAATTTCCACTACTTTGTGTCTTGATGTCGATTGGGGCAACATTGGTGTCAGCTATTGGTTATCAAAATCATAAAGATTTTCGTGCATGTTGGTTTGTTTGTCATGTAAGCTTATCTTCGTTTGGCTGTATTTTACTTTATTGAAACATCTATTGTCTCTCTAGTATTCAGGTCGTCACCAGCAGACACCTCGTTTTATAGTCACCGATCATCACAGGACATGATTTCAATGTTAAAAGGCAACATTTTTATATTAACTACACTCTTCTGTGGTATTGGAGTCTTAATAGTAGGAATATTTACAAAGATCAAGTGAGATTTCTAGTCAGTTTTTCTTTAATTTATTTTTCTCTTCGACACGTTGAGCAAGACAACATTTTCATTGAACTTCTTTTTTTTGATTAAACAGTGAGCACATAGGATGGTTGGATATAATTGTTTCGATATGTGAATCAATTCTAATGTTTTATATTGGAATACCACTTGCAATAGCCCTGGGTAAAATATTACTACAAACAACTCCTGAAACCATAATTTTAAGTTTGGAAGCTTGTTTACAAGAGGTAACCCATTTTCTCTCAACTCTCATTTTGAGATATATGCTTTCAACTCACAATCCTTTCAACAGCTGCAAGAACGCGATCCAGCTATAGTTTCAATAACACAGACACATGTCTGGCAAAATTCGTATGGTCAGCTTATAGGTTCATTAATTGTCCAAGTGACTCCCGAGGCTAATGATCAAACAGTCTTAGAACACGTGTACCAAAGACTGGGTCCACTATTGGGCGTTGGTAACAATAACCTTGGATACGGTAGTGGTGAGTTGACTGTACAGATTGTGAAATGATAGAAAAGCACTGTGATTTGTAGTATAGAATTATTAGAGGTGTTATGATTACACGATAGATAACTACAGTGTGTCATGAGAGTATAAATAGTTACGGTACTTGCGAAAATAGCCCCCTTCCTATATTGTTTCGTTGGCTATTATTATAGTACCTCGTATCCCACATGCAACTTTTTCTATCACCAAGTCTTTTTGTTGAAAATCTACTTTTGTGGGATTGTACAAATTATCTCCACAAAAACTGAGGCCCCAGATGTAAAGTTGGCCTAGATCTGATATTACGT